GGGACTCTGCAGGGGAGTCCAGGTGAAGGTGGTTAAGGCTCAGTGGGGGGGGACTGGGGAAGTGGGGCTTGGTGGAGGGGTCAGTGTGCAGCTAGTTGGGGCTCAATGGGGTGGGGTTCTGGGAGGGGGGGGGCTCCTGGTGGGGTGGGGGTTGAGTGCACAGGCGGAGTAGGGATCACTGTACAGGGAGCTGCTCCCCCTGTCAGCCCAACCCCTGTGCATCGAGACACCCTTGCACCCAACCTCCGCCACTTTTCAGACAAGGATTCTCTCTCTTAAAATTGCTGGTTTTATTTCAAGTGCATCAGTGTTCTGAATTTTTGTCTACATTTATTCTACATTTTAAACTTTTATCTGGGAATATCTTTATCTTTCTGGTGTTGAGCAGATGTCTACTTCAACTAGCCAGAAGTCTAAACCTTCTGTAAGTCACTGATCTAATCTTTTATTGTGCTTAGATTAGCTAATAAAACAACCTGGGATATTAAGAAGCATGTGTTGCCAATGGGAAAAAATGGTTTGTCAAAACGATTATATTTTTATTAAGCCATGAGAGCACTCAGTCAGATCCTATTTTGTTATTACGCCAAACAAGTCCACGGTTCTTCTAGGGAAATGAGTTCAAAAGGACTGACAGAGAGCGCTTGTCAGCACATCGTGAGCTCATTTATGTGAAAAGCTAGAACAGTTTTGTTATCCTCTTACTTGCAAAATTAGCGGAACTATTTCTGAGAACATGAAGCATGTTTTCATCTGCACCGCCTAAGTCTGATGGTGCTGACAGAGAAAGATGGATTAAGAATTTTTCACTATTTCCCACCTTTTTTCTAAAGACCACCTGTAGAATGTATCAGTAGCTAACCAATAGCAAACCAGGGGTCTAGACTGCAGGAGGCTGTTTGCATACATGAGTTATTATAGGAGGTGGAATAAGCGTGAATAGGTTTTGGTTCCTCCCACAAAATAATGCTGTGTATTATCAGTAGAGATGGGTAATTAGCTATGGCTGATACCTGCTTTACAAAAATATAGGAGTAGCTTCAATACTTGAAATATCTTACAGACCATGCTCCCTCTCAGAGCCATGGAGAAGAGACATTCTAACCTTTAACTGGTGCCCCAGTTCTGTCCTGACCAGGAGTGATTTGTCACCATTTTGACCTGTACCAGTCCTTCTGCCCTGATGCTTGCATAACTACCACTGGGAGTCAACGGGGAAGTTTGTATGCACAAGGACTGCAGGATCAGATCTTAACTAGTTCCCATGAATACTGAAACAGAAGCACATTCCCTTTTACTTCCTCTGCAGTGTTGCTGGGTTGCTTTGCGTAATGTCCCTTTCCATTCCTTGGGAGGTTCTGCCATGCTGACTTCAGACATAGAGAGCAAAATAACAAGAGCTTCATTTTTATTCAATTCCACATCAGTATGCTGCCTAACAAACATGCTGTTTATTTTGATATCACAGATCCCTATTGGCACAGAGATCGAAGGGATGAATATTCTGGGACTGGTTTTGTTTGCTCTGGTTTTGGGAGTAGCTTTGAAAAAGCTTGGCCCAGAAGGAGAAGAACTGATTCGTTTCTTTAACTCATTCAATGAGGCAACTATGGTCTTGGTGTCTTGGATTATGTGGTAAGTGTGGTTGTAAATACGTTACCATGACAGCAGTGCTTCCGGGCTTAGGAATGTCTGTCTTTACCTGCCTAGCTGTTTTTGATGCCACATCCATCACCAGAGTAAAGAGTGAGTGGCCTTCCATCCGTGCAATGAGTCTGGTACTTGATGGCTGTTTTGCCCACTATATTTTCTCCTGTGTTTATCAGTGTTGCCTCTCGAAAATAAAGAATGCAGCCTCTTTCTTTGCACATGAGCAGTAGGCAGAAGGTCACTCACACCGTAGGCTGTCTCTTGAGAATGACAGACAGTCCTCTAGGAATCAGCTGCAGGACTCAATTTTGATTAGTTTGAAAATCAAGCCCTATTTTTTCTAAGCATCAGAAACCTGGGTGAGAACACAATTACATGCCTAATTTTATGCGATGTTACTGTGGCTGCACAAGCAAGTTGGGAATTTGTACACCCAAAACCCCAATTTGCATGCGCAGTTGTAATAATTGCACATGCAAACTAGGTGCACAGTTGTGATCACATACTTTAGTTCATTCCTTTATCTTGTGATTATTTGAAACTCAGACCCTGAATACAAACTAAGCTATAGCAATACACGCAGAAAAAAGAAGACGTTTAACAATAACTCAACATTATTTGGGTTCCAATGAATGTCTGCTGCTGAAGAAGTGCTTGGTTACAGAACACAGAACTGACAAAACACAACTGAAAACCTCAGTCCCTTCATATAACAAGAGTAGTTAGGAGTTCCCATTAGAGTGACAAAATAGGTGAAAATCTTGACCCTATTGAAGTCAACAGGAGTTTTGTCATTGACTTCAGTGGAGCCAGGATTTCACCTTAGATCTTAGGACTCAATTTATATAGGAAAGACTTCTTTCACGTTCCTGGGTGGGAAGGGAATGTGGGAGCCAGTACTTTCAACATACAGATAGGATCGTCAATTTTAGTTGGACGTATTCCTGGAGGTTTCATCACATGACATAATCGTTAGTTAAAAATTAATCTTTACTTCCTGGAGACTCCAGGACAATCCTGGAGGCTTGGCAACCCTACCTACAAACCAACATCTCATTAACATTCCTAATCTCCCAGAGAGCCCTCCACAGCCCTGCACCCTCATCTGCTGGATGCCTATGTATTTTCTAAGGAGGCTGAACCTCTGATGATAGTTTATTTTATCTCCTCTGCAGAGTTATAATTAGCGGGACCTCCCCTTCACCCACTTCTCTGGAGTCCATGCCTACATTTCTGTGTGACATTTGCCATGAGAGTTTTCGATCCCTGCTAAAGTATGAGGAGAACTAACTATCCTACTATCCAAAGTATAGAAATGAAAAACCATAAGTACAAGTACAGTGAAAGATAGCTGGAATTCATTTGTCCCAACATTTTACAAAAGCTAAGGTCAATCATAAATGTTTCCAAGATTATATATATTTTAATCCAGTGGAAATCTGTTTGTTTTTTTATTTCAGTTTTTAAAAAGTAAATATTCCCATGTGGTAGTTGCAACTTGACCAGTGCAACATTAAGACTATAAAGGAAAGTAAAAGTGAATCCATTGATTTGTTTTTCATTGTCTAAGCTGAGAGCAAAACAAGAAGTAAAGAAACAGTGGAAAGAAGAAAGTGGAATTTTAAACACTCTTCCAGGTTTAATAATCTAAGGTGTAATTATTGATGGGGTAAGAGACGGTGTTAATTTTAGATCAGATTTGCCAGCTGAAAGACTCGATGTCCACATGGATAGGTTGGTTATGACTCTTCACGGTGAGCAACTCACACTTAGCAAAGACCTCTGAAAAGTTCTGTAGTTTCAAAGCATGTTTCCAAAACCACTCTGCTGGAAGTGTAACTTGTTTTACACCAGTTTAAGTGAAATCCAAACCAGAGCCCCAAATGTCATGCCTGCCATTCATTATGTACTGTATACTGAAGGGCTGGAGGTTACATCTTATGTAAGAAACCCAAACTGTTAAACTGTCTATGGGGAATATCTTTCTGCCAAGCCCAATCAAACAATGCTTAGCCAATAGCATGTTACTCTAGGTGCTGAAACTGCTGTAGAACCACAACCATTCAAGAAAAAAGAACGAGGAGTACTTGTGGCACCTTAGAGACTAACAAATTTATTTGAGCATAAGCTTTTGTGGGCTAAAACCCACTTCATTGGATGCATACAGTGGAAAATACAGTAGGAAGATATATATATATATATACAGAGGACATGAAAAAATGGGTGTTGCCATACCAACTATAATGAGAGTAATCAGGGCTATTATCAGCAGGAGAAAAAAAACTTTTGTAGTGATAATCAGGATTACCACTCTGAAACCTGTAACCATTCAAGAAGTCTCTCAAATTATGCTCTGTCCCTTTCTAACTCCATGTATATACATCCAGACAGGTGAGTTTTTTCACTTGAACTGCTATTTTTCCCCCCAAGAAATGGAATGGATTCAACAAAATATCTGACCTTATAAATACATTAGTTTCTGTCATTAGGGATTTAAATGTAAAAGTCTCAAAGCAGCTTAAGGCTTTCACTCTGGAGTGTGATTCCTAGGCTATCAAAAACTGATAGGTAGTGGTTCTTGTACTCAGCTCATTATGAAGCTAACTCTCCACGTTAATCAGCTGTGTGTAATCCTTTTCTTTGTGGATTATTGGACTGCTTCTGAGCCTGACATGGCAATGTACAGTAATTCTCACTTCTCCTCTTTCCTTCTCTAAGGCTATCGGTGTCCTCCGGATATTTATCCCAAATCTCTCACACTTTTCGAGTAACAGTTAGGGATGGGCAAAACTGTTCTTACAAGATAAGAAGTGTCTGGAATCTCCTCCCCTTCTGTGAATCAAACCCAACCACCAAACCTTTAAGGGCTGTTGTCAGCCAGTGGTTAAAGTAAATTGAAATAAGATGGGAAGCCTTCATCATACCAGCCAAGGAGGGGGAGCTGCTGCTCACACAGACCAGGGGGAGGACTGGGGCACTGTACAAGAGGTGACATTGGTTCGCTCCTGAGGGCCGGGGCAGATTGTGGGATGGAAGAGGAAGGGACATGTCAGTGGATCTACTCATATTCTGATCCACCAGCTGTTGCTTTGGGGGCCCAGGGACTGGAGTAAGCCTGGAAACTGGAGTAGTAGCTGCTGTGCTGTGGTGAGAATTTCTTCTCTCTTTGTCTCCAGGGAATTCCCCAGCACATAGCGAGGCTCCTTGAGCTGGAGACGTGTTTTGGGCCTAAATGCAGCTCCCAAGGAGCTCCCTTTGAGGACTGTAAACTGTTGCTGACAAAGGAAACCACAAACAAATTATTGATGTCCGAAGATTTGTTGTGTGTCTAGAGCTATAGGCCAGAGTGAGACTCCAGACACTCAGTTGTTGTAGACAAATACTAGAATTAAATGCCTTCCCTGGACTTACCCTGTGCTTTCTGAGCTTCAGGAACTAACCTGGCACCCTCGCTGATGGAATAAAATGCCACAATAGACATCTTCTCCTCCACTCTCTCCTATGGGCATGCAATCTCCCTGATAGCTTCTGCCAACATTCCTGCACCATCTCCACTCCCGGCAGTGCCACTTACAGCCTTCCTGGATGTTTCTTTCAGGCCAGGGGCCAATGACAACTTGTCCAGGCTGACAACATCCCCTTTAGCAACCAAGAGAGAACTCGGTCCATTGTAAATTTGTTTATCATAAGTGTATAGAACACATGGCCCTGTGTATTCTGTGGTTCTGGATGCATGGAATTTACTTCAGATTCCACCCCTTCAGGAGGGGCAGAGTGCTGTACACAGGTTTCCTGGCAGGAAGAATTTGGTCCCTAAAAATGAAAGTGGTATGTGTCTTTTTTTAAGGCTTGTTCCTCTTGCTTAATATTAATGAAAGACAATCCTTGTTTTTCTTTATGCAGGTATGTGCCTATTGGCATTACATTCCTTGTTGGAAGCAAGATTGTAGAAATGGAAGATATTGTCCTTCTGGTAACCAGCCTGGGAAAATACATCTTTGCCTCAATTCTGGGTCACGTCATCCATGGAGGAATCATTTTGCCGCTTATATATTTTGCATTCACACGCAAAAATCCTTTCAGCTTTCTCTTAGGACTTGTAACACCATTCGCAACAGCCTTTGCCACTTGTTCAAGGTATGAGGCAACACCACTTCGCAAACAAGCTGTGCTCTTGCTGAGAATAGTTATACATTGCTCTTGGCCAAGCTTTTCAGAAGGGATTAGTGATCTGGGGTGCCCAATTTGAGGCATTATAAAAGGTCCTGATTTTCAAAAAGTGCTGACCCCCGACCTGCCCTTTGAAAATTAGGCCTTTTTAAGACATCTCAAGTCAGGCACCCAAAATCATTAGTTAGTGTTGAAAATCTTGGCCTAGAATTCTGTGTAGCAGTACTATGGAAATAATAAAAATACTAATAAACTGACAGCTTATGCACCGGGTTGGACAGGAATGTACTGCTCCATGATTCTTATTTCCTGTTTGTTTCTAGCTCAGCTACTCTCCCATCAATGATCAAGTGTATTGAAGAAAACAATGGAGTAGACAAGAGGATCAGTAGGTTCATCCTTCCTATTGGGGCCACTGTGAACATGGATGGAGCCGCCATATTCCAGTGCGTGGCAGCTGTGTTTATTGCTCAGCTGAATAATGTTGACCTCAATGCTGGACAGATCTTTACTATTCTGTAAGTTGCTTGTGATTCAAACCACATCTCCCTGGCCCTCAAACGCCATGCTAAGCCTGGGGTCTTTCTGTTTTTAAACACAAATTATTTTTTAATACCTAGCAGTTCAAATTCCAGACCTACAGTTGCCAATTTTGGTTGGACGTATTGCTGGAGATTTCATCACATGGCATAATCTTTGATTCCTGGAGATTCCAGGACAACCCAAACCAGACCTCTGAACTGCAGTCTGTAAATTGCTGTGGAACATATTATCCAACAATACAACAGGAGTCTTTCAAGCTTTATAAATCTCATTTTGACGTGTACTGGAATTTAGGGAGGTTTGATAGATTTGGAGATTAAGGGCTAGATCTGAATCTTAAATGGATTCTGAGCATCTCAAAAACACCATTTGTGCAGAACTCTTCCCTCCATCTCAAGCACCCCTTTCCCCATCCTCTGGCCATCAAGCTAGGTAATTCCATGGCCTCTCCTATGCCCCTGCCCTCCGTATCCTCCTTAACCCCTTGTTCTCTTTTACCTTTCGTGTTTGGATACCAATAAGTCACTTCTTTCTTTACAACCAATCCAAACCCTGTCCTTTCCTTCCCGTCCTCGCTGCTAATAGCTGTGTTCCTCCCTGCCTTGATAATTTCCCACTTTGTCTACGGTAACTTCCCTTTCTCTGGCCTTTCCAGTGCCCATGCCACTGCCCTCCCGTCGATCCAGAGTGCTGCCCTTGAGTTCATCATCTGCATGCAGCACTCTGACCATATTGCTCCCCTGGCGCTCCGTTTGGCCGCTCCACATCGCCTTCTGTGTCAGTTTCATACGCCTTGCCCTCACGTGCTGGGTGCCTCTGCCCTGGCCTGTGTCCCATCCCTAGCTTTCCACGACTGCCTTGTTCGGAGCCTTTACTCCGCCTATCACTTTGCATGTTCCTTTTGTGCCCTCCTGTTTGTCTGTCAATACTGCACCCATCCCTGTGCTAATCAAACACCTTCTCCCGCAAGCACCCTCATGCTGGGCTGTCCCTTCCACACCTGAAATACCCTATATACCATGAGCCGTCTTTTTCCTCCTTCAGATCCCTCCCCAAGACCCTCCAAAATCCCTCAGTGATCCCACAAATCATTTTAACACCCCTAAGCCACCAACATTCTGCATCCCGCAGACATCCCTGGGACATATTCTGGGTGCTCCGCTTCCTTCCAGCCATCCCCATTCCTGTTATTTGCTTCCTTCCCTTGCTCTTTTGCCTGCACGTTGTCCATTTGGATCACTTCCACTCCTCTGGGCAGGAACAGGTCTAATTCTGACTGCAAAGCATCCAGCACACTTTGATTGCTGTTATCATTTTTCATGTAAATGGCAGAGATACACCGTGATGCACGTTGCTCATCTGAAAATACACTGGTAGTATTCGCAGCAGAGCCATTACTTGGATAGCTCGTTTTGATTCTTGCAGAATAACAGCACTCAGTACCCAACAGTATTAATTTCTATTATTGGACATCTGCAGAATACATGGCCCGATACGGAAGAATTTGTAGACAAAGAAGTTACATTTGCCCCCCTCCTTTTGCTTTGGTTAAAATTGACGCTGTAGGAAAATAGGCACCGTGACCATTGAATGAGTGTGTTACTGAAACTGCACTAACGCGTGTTTGAAAACATTCTCAGTGTGACGGCCACTGCAGCCAGCGTTGGAGCGGCTGGAGTCCCAGCTGGAGGAGTTCTGACCATTGCTATTATCCTGGAGGCCATTGGACTTCCCACCAACGATCTATCCTTGATATTAGCAGTGGACTGGATTGTGTAAGTACTGTATAATATAAATCTGCTGCTGCATATGTAATTGGAAGCACAGGACTGGGGGAACAAAAGCAATAGTCTAGAAAATAAAAACGCAAATCACACAGTTGTATATCGAGTTTACACACACACACTCTCTCTCTCTCTTCACCAGAAAAGGCCAAGAATAACATAATTCAGTTTCAATTAAATAAGAACTGGGGGGCAGATCCTAAAGTACTTATTCAACTTGTACTTCATCTTTGCTGAGCATGAAATTCCCATAGATGCTAGTTCCCTTAAGAGGAATTATTTAGAGCTGTACAAAGGGTCTTGCTAGAAATTAGATGGAAGAAAAAGAGAACTGAGGCTGAATAATGGAGAAAGCTTCCTGAGTATTGGATTCATTAGGCGGTGCGACGGTCTCCTGGGGAAAGCAGTACACATCCTGTTGCTTCAGACATTTAAAACTAGGTTAGACAAAGGACTGGGAACAATCCTACATTGGCAGAAGAGTGGAGTCAGGGGATAAGCAGTGATCATAAGAGCTGATATTGCTGCATGAACATGTTATTGGACAGGAGCAATTTTCATCAGGAGTTTAGTTAGCTATTTTTGCACCTCTCCTTTCTTTGCTGTTGGAAAGGGCCAGGTAAGGCCCAAATTCTGACGTTCTTATTCAGTTCTGCTCAGTTCTTACCAAGACAAATCTCCCTTCTGAAATCAGGGGAAATTATCCCACAGCCTAACAGATCCCAGCGTGAAGAGTCTGATCCTGCTATTCAGACTAACTTTCTTCTCGTGACTCCTAGATTTACCCTCTTGTACCGCCCTAAATAACTCCTCTCCCGGGGGAAAGGTTAAAAGACTCCATTTGTATAGCTCAGTAAAGTGATACAGGGACCATCTGCGAATACCTGAGAGGTATAGATAGCTCTCCTGTCACTTTAACTGAGCCATCCAAAATGGGGCTCTTCGCCTTTCCACTCAACCAACCTCTGACCCCCTTTAATCATTGCTGTCCGCCTGTGAACTCCCCCCAGTTGGTGCCCATGCCTAGCTACAGCAAAGTTTCACCCACTGATTCTGAACCCCTCCGTGCCCCCGTGGCCAGAAAATTTATCAATCAATCTTAATAACCTAGAAAGCCTAACATTAAAGTACTTTAACACTGACCTTGGAGTGCTAGTGAAATAACAGGTTTACAGGGCGCTGACCTAGTCTGCAGTCAAGACCATTGGCTGGAGAAGCCTATTGAGGCAAATCCTTGGCTCAGGTTATTGTTGGATGCACAAGGCAAGGGAAAAGGGCAACAATCATTCTGCCTTCCCACCTCACCCCCACCCACTCTGTCCTCATTGTGCAGGGCCAGCCATAGTCGCAGTCCTTGTGCTTCCTAGAGGCCCTGGCCTTGTCGCCTAGGGCACTAGCCACTTTAAAAGAGGTTGTGGGAGGAGGCAAAGCAGTAGTCCCGCCCCCCTCCCTCCACATGTCGCCACACATGACACACCTTCCTGACGGGTGTGACAGTGGCTGCACCGTCCTCTGTGGGCCTGGGAGCTGCAGGAGTCGTGGTGCATAGGGCTTCCCAGTGCTCCCTCTAGGTCTGGATGGCTCTTAGCCCACTCTTCATTGAGGACTAAACTGCGCTCTCTGTGTATCACGTGCCTCCTCCACACAGTCCCCTTCCCGTCATAGTACACAGCAATGCATTGCTGTCAGCACTGCACGGGAAGCAGCCTGGTTGTTGCAGCTGATGTGGTTATAATGATGAGGATGGTGGGGTGGGAGGGAAGTAACCTTGTGACTCATTTTATTGCAAAGCGTTGAATAAACAAGTAGTACTAAGTCACAAGTTAAGCACATGGTGAAATTAGGCCATGAGCAGACTGACTGAGGTCCCAAAGCACAGAGGGAAGAAATGTGCCTGTTCTTAGCAGATAGCCGTTGTTTTAATCCTCTCTCCCACTTCAGAGTGACAACGTGATCCGGAAACCTCCTTCCATTACACTGTAGCCTTGTCACATTCGCTTGTGGTGCATGGCCAAGGGGCATCAGGACGGGACATGGTGCCAAAGCTCAGACAGCAGCACTAGTGATGGGGGAACCCTTTGTGCCTGATTTCATACTCACCTGGACATCATGGGGTGGAAGGTCTGACTCAGGCTAGAACATCACCAGGTTTCACTGCTCTTAGAGGAGGCTGGAAAAGGAATATGGAGCAAAGGCAGCGAAACAATCCAGTGAAAGCTGGATGAAAAGCTGGGCCCGGTGGGACAGAGGCACTAATGAAAAGGAGCTCAGTGGGGGAGAAGGAAAGGCATGAACAGAGCCTGTCTACGTCCTGGAACAGGGCCCCCACATGTGCTCGCTGAGCTTTTGGGTGATGCAGATATTACAGGCTTCCCTTTAGTTAAAAACAAAAAGCCCAATTCATCCATATCCAAACTTGGCAGCCTGCCCCACCTCTGTGATGGAAGACTAGCAGTGGGCCATGCGTGGCCATTCAGGGGACTCAAGGTCAGGAATGGATTCAGGGCTCTCTCTTCCTGTGCTGGTGGAGACAGCTGTGGAGGGAGGGAAGTGGAAGCAGTGGGATAGTGGAGAAAGCCCATCTGTCTCAGGGGAGATCCCTTGTGTCCCGCCCCTGTCTAGAGGTGAAGTGTTACACTGGCAGCTGAAGAGGAAGCATAGAGATTGAGAACAGCCAATGCTAAGAGTTGGAGCCACCCATAAAACACGCTACATTTCTATAATACTTAAACTATGATGATACCTATAGAGAACAGCTAATGCCACTGTCAATCCACGAGTATTCCTTCTGTCTCCATTGACTTCAGTGGCGTTACACTAGGGATGAATTTGGCCCCATATATTGAATTGTATTGCTTAAGTTAAAGGGTGCCTATGTGCTTTTGCCATTGACCAGGGACCGAACCACCACTGTTGTGAACGTTGAAGGAGATGCCCTGGGAGCAGGTATCCTTCATTATCTGAATCAAAAAGAAAAGACGGCGAAAGAGCAGGAGCTAAATGAAGTCAATGTAGAAGCGATTCCCAACTGCAAATCTGAAGGGGAAACATCACCTCTGGTAACACACAGGAACCAAGTCCCCACCCCAGCCAGCACTGCGGAGCCAGAGTCAAAAGAATCAGTACTGTGAACTCGGGGAAAACTTGCAAACAGGTGGACTGCTGCCTTGTTAACATGCTAGACCATTTGCACTGCTGTTAGGGACTAGCTGTGTGTTCACCTTTTGAGTTTCAGTGGCAATGATTTGAAGCTACAGACTTGTTAGGTGTATGTCTGTCTGTCTCTCCCTGGAGAGAGCAATCACTTCACAATGATGTTATGATGTTTCCTACAACACAAGTATGTGTGTGGTGTGTGTACATGCATACATGTATATGACAACAGTACCAATAAGGATTCTTTTTGGGGTTTAAAAAGATATTTATTAGTAAAAGTCCATGGGGAGGGGAAAAGAGGCTAAACAGAGAGGACATACTGGTTGTAGATGGAATTTGCACCACAAACAGGTCTGAGAACTAGGGGATCCCGAATGGCAGGGTAATGTTATGCAGGAACCAGTACTTTCTCAGAAACACCTATTTAATAGTATCAAGTGGGAAAAGAAATGCACTTTCTATAACACACACACACCCTCCTTGTCCTTTGTGCACACATTACAGCAAATAAATACTGAAGACCAGTAATTTTAAAATCCAAATTAATAGCTCAGAGGAATCTGATCTTCATTCTATTGCCAGGCAACTTTATCAAAACATCCCCAGGAAGCAGACATTGTGGCAGCGTTCGCTCTCTATTCTCCTAGCTGTCGGTGATAGAAATCAACCCCACAACTTTAAACTCTAAAATAACAAAGATTGGAGTCAGACAAAAGATCTGCTTTACTCCCTATTTAAAACTGACAAACCACTTTTAAGCCAGTTTTGGCAAAGTAATTACACGAACTTCTATAGTTACAGTATAACTGTGTCTACAAGAGAATTGTCTATAAAAACACTGAGTGACAAAGACTTCAGCTCTACGCACCTAACCACACACGTGCAGCTACTGCCACTCGAAACTGTTCATGTTTCTTTAATGGCTCAAGTCAGACGTCCTGGGACACATCCTTTTCCAAGCAACATTTCTCAGACGAGAAAGGAATATAAAAACTCAAAATGTGGAAACTGATGAAAAATCCAAAGCATTATCCCCTGGATGGCCAGAGTAGGGACTACTGATGGCATGAGACGGGAAGGCGTGTGGAGTCCAGTGATTCCTGCTGGCTCTTGGGACGGCTGTGCCTCCCCCTCTTTGTACGCTGCCCTGGTGTCCCTGTCCCTTCGAACAGCAGAGCCAGCTTGACGGTTGTGCTGCTGTTGGACCCCTTGTCTGCAGCAGTTCACTCTTATCGTGTCCGTTCTTACCACAGGAGGTGGAAGAAGCCATAGGCCAGGACTCAATGGTGCAAGTTTTAATTCCTACAGGGTATTCTGCCTGAAATTGAACCAGCTGCTCCCTGACTTCTACACTGCCCCCACAGGGCCAGAGCCACAGCTCATTGAAAGCAATGGCCAGACTGCCACAAAGACAGGGCCCCAGAATGAA